CTCACCCATCCTAGCAGTGTCAGAGCAGCAAGCCAGAGCACAGCTATGCAGGTTCCATCCTTTACTAGCAGCTTTTGCTCCTATGTTTGAATCACACTTTAGGGCTCATACCCTACTCTAAAGTGAACTTCAGAGGGCATGCATTTGAAAAAGGTTTACTTGAATATCTGAGTGATGACTTTCTCTGATTTACAGGGCAAAACAAGGTTCTTGCTGATGCCAGAATTTTTCTCATCTAGTTCAACATAAATTTGTGAAACCATAGATACCCTAAGGACTAATTAGAAAGAAACTGTCAAACCATTGGAAAATACAATTTCCGCATAGATTTCCCTATGGCTATGCTTACCAACTTGTAAGAAATTAAGAACAAATATTCCAAATTGTGATTACAGTCTCAATGAAAATTGCACACATACACAAAAGAGCCCACTTGGTAAACTTGTAATAGAAGAACAATTGTAGATAAGCTGCTCCACATTTCTGTCCTTGAGGTTCAAATGCAGCAATGAAACCAAGCAGGTACTTGAACAAAGTGATTTTTTCCTCTTGCAAAGGAATAATGTTTCATCCATCACTTCTAAATTCTATTTTGTCTTGTCGGGCATCTATCCTTGTATTGCAAAAGAATAGAAAGCCACAGACAGCCTAAAGGCAGGTCTAGCTTTGAAAGATGCTAATAATCACCATTTAATTAGAATCTCCCAGACCATTTTATTGGAATTGGTCTTTTTTGTTCAGTATTAACAGGGGCACAGAGGACTGTCTTTCCTTCAGGCTGAGCACTGGGGAATGGGTGTTCTGAATGCCTTCTTAAAAGCCAAGAAAGAAGCCAAATATTTCTGATAACAACATCTACTGAGGTCTACAGAATGCAATTACTAAAACCATCTTGGAATTCTATGGAAGGAAACACAGAGCTTTTAGTAAGTATGGTTCCAAGGTAGATTTTAAACATTAACTAGCTTTAAACATAAACTAGGACAATGTGTGGATATATCAAAATGGAAGATGCACATCTGGAGCAATCAGAAAATGACTCGGATGGAAAAGGAAAAAAAGACCCCACTGCCTACAGCAGCCACGGAGCTACAGCGACCCAAGAAACGAGGGGCAGATTGAGTGCCGTGGGGTTCTCTGAGAAGTTCCGTGAGATTACGAATAGAATACTCATTCAAATTTCTTAGATTGATAAAATGTAAGAGTTGAAAGGAATCCCCAAATAACACTGCCTAACTTTTTAATTTTACGTTTTATTTTGTTTGCTTAGAGGACAGTAGAGAAAAAGTGGATAATTAATAGCATAAATAGGACTGACTAGTTTGCCTACCTCAAGGGCTCTTGCCCATCCTGTACTTTTTACAGTCGACACTTCTTGAGTAGCTCATAATGCTCCCTGTATGTCATACATTTCACCACATCCTCACAGTGCATCTCGTTGGAAGGCGTGAGTCTGAAAGAGAATGCAAGCACCTGAATGTAAATAGATACAAAAAGCTTGGAAAAGAAAACAAAACAGAGACAACGGGCACACAGCATCCTTTCACAGGCAGCCAGACTTAAAACCAACCAACCGACCAATAACTTGTTCAGTTTTTTTTTGGCCTTGACCATTGTAAGGAAACTCTAGTGAAGTAAAGAAAATTTTCTTTCTTAATCTTAAAGGCAACTAGAGGACAATGAAAGAGCTTAACTAGCGAAGATGTGAGTAGTTATGAGTTTGAGAAAAATCACTCAGGCCACTTAGGGGACTGGGTAGGAGGCTGTTACTGTCACCCCAGTGTGAGACAATAGTGGCCTAAAAAGAGTCGCACAAACTGTTTGACTAACAGGATACGGCTTTGTGGTCTCAATTTCACATTTTGATTTTATGTTATTTATCTCCTTTTATGGAGAATTTCTTCCCTGTTGAAAAATTTAAGACACAACCAAGCCAATGCGGATACTGCAGGGCAGGAGCTCTCAGAATGGTACACTGCCTGACCCCATGAGCCTTCTGCTCCCCTGAAGGTCAGTCCTGGGACCGATCTGTACTGTATGAAATGAGTGTACTAACTATAGCCACAGGGTCTCAGTACATCAGGCCTGGCCGAAATCACGTCATTCTCATCCTGTGACTCCCCGGTCCCTGTGCTGGCCCCAGCCTAGGTCACTTCTTTTAAATCCCTTTCCTAAATCCATGATTTTTCTTCTCTGTAAGCCTTAAGTTTTCTGCACATTTTCTTGACCCAGGGCCCTTTTCCACCAGACTCCTATTATTTTGACCTCTGTTTTCTAAATAAGAAGTTTGACAGAGATGAGCATTCTTTTCATTACAGAGAAGTTACTGATCATGAGTTTGTGGGGCAATATATTTTAAATTGCTCTTGCACATGTGTCCACAAGTTTACCCTCTTCTGTTGGGTTCATGCACCCCCACTGTGCCCCCTGGAGAGTCCCTGCCTCTATCTCCACGTAGTCACAGTTTTGAGCGGCCCAGCTGGTCTGAGCTCATGCTGCCGGGGATGTTGTAGAAGGAAGCTAAGTGTCAGGAGGAGAAAGAAGTGGATGAACTTGGGCTCTCCACTGCAGTGCTGTTTCCTGAGTCCACAGACAGGCATCAAGATCATGAAAGTAAATTTTGTCTGATTTTAACCAAATTCATATTCTACTACAAAAAATAGCTTTTTTAAAATATATATAACCAGAATGGCTTTTGGCAATTTAACAATGAAAAAAACTGAAGTGTTTGGGGGTGGTTAACTTGTGTCCTGGATATTGTTAAAGGTTACATGGTAAAGGCTTTCCTGGGCAAAACTAGATCCTAATACAGTTTGACTCCCAGATGGAGAGAAACTGAAAAGGCACTGAACTCAGTGGGAACAGCCTGGGCTGAGCACTCAGCCCCGCAGAGTGGCATTACTTAGGGCCTGGGGACTGGGGAATGAGTGCACTCACTGTAGCCACAGGGTCTCAGTGTACTACGGTGAGCGAGAGCGACGCTTCCTTGGTAAGAAAGCCTGGTCTTCCCACTGCCATTCGTCCCTCAGAGAAGCCCGTCCTAAGGCAAGAAAGGAGGGTTTGGGAGATACTCTCGAAGGATCTGAGGACAAAGGGAACCTTCCCATTTTCTAGATAGGGGCTCATCTTGAACACTGAAGTCTAAACACTGTGATACTAGCTCTAGTGACTGGGTAGGGGGTGAGCAATCCCTGGCTACCAGCAGTGAAGCAAGGACCTGCCAAGGCGGAACTCCAGGAAGGATCTGTATGGGTTGTACATCCCTTCTTTTATTCTCAGTCTTTAAAATGATCAAAATCTGGATGGTAATTATAGATTTGCTATGTTTATGTTACCGTATTCCTATTATGTTAATATGTGTGTGCAAATTAGTTAGTTTAAAACCTATAGATGCTTAAGGTACTCTACAAGAAGATATGTCAAAGAAATAATCAATCCTCCCGTGTTTTCTTCCATATGCTACCTCTATAGCTTTTCTTCTTCCTTCCTAATTACAACCCTTAAATAGAATTTGTGCCTCATATCGAATTTACCGAGTATCATAATTCCTCCAGGTGGTAAAGATACCTCGAGACAAGTGCTGGGCATAGAAGCCACAGGGCATAAATCTGCAAAGAAGTAAAAAGCTAACCTTTGCAAACAATATGGCTTCTCTCTCACTTACCAACTTTACATTTCCCTGTATGGCCCCGGAAGATGACTGGTTAGCCAGAGACGGGTAAGATTCCTCAAGGGAGGAACAACCTAAGACAGGCACAGTCGCAGGGGGGCCATCAGGTGAGAATTTGGGGATCAACAGAGGTGAGGCTCAGAACCTCACCCCCCCTGCTTTGAGAGAAATCTTCTGCATCCGTGGATGTTTTGCTGCCCTTGTCTAGCCTGGATTAATACTTAGTCCATAGGCACACACCTGATCACCTGATCATCTACATTTGCCCTCTTACAGCACTAAACTATGTTTTCTACCTTTATCTTGCATCTACCTACCACTTCAGCATTTTATTAAAAATAAAAAAAATAATAATAATAAAGGGAGAAATGTGGGATCAACATGTAAATCAAGTATAAAAATCAAACGAATATTCATATTTGACCTGATTGTTTATAGTTCATAATGCGTGATCAAAACCGAAAGTTTCTGTGATGAATGCCCTTGCACTGTTTACCATGTAAGAATTTATTCACTATGTAAGAATTCGTTCACCGTGTAAGAACTTGTTCGTTATGCTTCAGAAGATTGGAGACTGACGAGAATTAGGCTTGAGATGGATTAATGATTGTACATTGAGCATTGATCCCCCTATACTGAATTTTATTAACAACCATTTGATCAATAAATATGAGAGATGCCCTCCAAAAAAAAAAAAAAAAAGATCAAAATTCTAAAAATCTTAGAATAATGAAATGTACTTTCTGACGTCCGTTTAACTAAGAGAAATTAAGGGAAAGAATAGTGCCCCTAGTAGGAGCCCGGTCTAACAGAGCAGCCGCCTTTTCTCAGGGCCGAGGCGGCGTGTGCAAGGCGGTCACGGCCGAGGGGAAGTGGACGCACGCACGCGCACAGGAGCACCGGAGCCGCGGCCCGCCGTCGGGAGCGGCCGGAGCGCCGCGTCTGGGCCTGCGGCCGCGGGCCTGCGGTGTCCCTGGGAGGCGGGGGGTTGGGCGTGCACCGCGGCCGTGAGCCGGACCTCTCCCAGCGCATCCTCAGGAAGCCAGCCACAGGAAACGTTGACCATTATGCAGCTTCATTTGCTTTTGTTCCTATTCATTGTTTAATTTACATGTTGGTACACGGTCGGCGCAAGAGCACTGATGCGATACAAATTCACAAGGAACACAGAAAAGATGATTCTGTATAGTTCAAGATTTTCTTTAGTAAGTTCACCAGTTCAATTTAACTAACCCAAACATGTATATAGCACATCAGGGTGTCCCTAGTTTTACAAAAACCGGTGTTAAAAGGGAAAATATTTAGCCAATAAAATGGAGGGGTTTCTTTGTTTAGTGGAATAAAATTATCCATAAGAAAATGATTTATTTGAGAACAAAAGCTGGCAAATAACAACATAAATCCTTTCATTGAGCTAATTTTTTAGCAACAAAAACATGATTATGTAAATAAAACACTTCATGTTTTTAAGAGCAAAATACAAGAAATTCAGTCTTATAAAATAAGCAGTTTTTTGATGTTTCAAGAAGCTAAGTTGATATCTGCATGTACACTTAATGTACATTTAGTCCCCAGCTAAACATGATAGCTATTATTTTATATTTCTGGTTTCTCAATTAGGCTTTTAGTTATATATTTAATTTTTAAAAATTGCATAGCACATATTACTTGTTAAATTAGGAAAAGTTAAAATGTGTCTTTAAATAACTGTTGTTAAGATTGCATTTAAACAACCAAGTAAGTAAGGTAACCATGTAATTTTCATTTAAATCAGAATAGTTTGAGAGTGAAAGGTGCTGCAAATAACCGCCAGAATAATATATAAAATGCAGGGCTATCTTGAGGAAACCAGAATTTTTGGTTATACTACTTAGCATATAAAATGTATAATTATTTATTCTGAAACACCTAAGATAATGAGATGATTTTCAAAAACCTGAGGGGGTTAGTGAGATTATGTATTACTATAGCAGTCTGTGGGCCAAAAAAGGATACCTAAGGTAGACTGTGCCGTTTTGATCCAATAGCTTCATTTCACTAATGAAGGTCCTAAGCCTCAAAGAGGTTAGAAAACATGGCCAAGGTATCACGGCGAAGCCAGACAGAACTTTCTGACAATTATGGGTAAATCTACAACTTTGCTCCAAAGAGTGAACTAAGGCATTAAAAACATAATTTTTAAAGAGTACTTCATAAAACCCTAACAACTACTGTGAAATAACTAGCCCTCTTAATAAAAATCATGAAAAATAGTTCTGACGGCCAACACTATCCAGAAGTTTTATGCCACACTTATTCATAGAAACTCTCCTGTCAATCTCACTGGCAGGAAAGATCACAGGGGGCAGCAGAGGTGAGGGGGAAAGGTCTGCCCTGGTGGCCTGAGCCATTCCTCATGCAGAGGCTCATGGGTAGGATTCTAACCTCACAGACAGCCAAGGCTACAAGCTCACCCCACCCAGACCCTCTGATGTCATGGTCCACTTCTGCAGCAGCAGCTGAGCATCAGGAAGTGCACTGGGAGAACTATAATCTCCGTTCCCAAATGCAGGTCATCCAAGTTCTAGATGCGCAGGGCCAGTGCACAAGCAGGGGACAGGAGTCCATCTGAGCTGGGCAACGGTTTACAAAATGCTGACACAGAGGCAGGTGCAGTGGCCTTCAGTGGGCAGGTTAGGCTTCCCCTCTCATTCTGCCTTCATTTACAAACAGGCTCTACCTGAAGGGTCCAGTAAAGCTCAGCATCCTGGGGAGTGCAGTGGGCAGGCAGTCTCAGTAAGAAGGTACAGGGTATTCTGCAGAAGGGCAAAAGGGATGTCTGGAAGAATCAGTTAGAAAAATAAGACATGGTTATATTTGTAGCCCAAGGAAGTGATAAGGTTTGTACCAGTTACACAAAAGCCATTATAAAGGGGCATTTTTAGTATGCTTAAATTCAAATTGTGTGAAATCCAATGGAGGTAGATGGTAATTTACCTATTTGGACAGTATAGATCATTATCTGGATAATTGAGTGATTCCAACATAATTCCAGTGTATTAACTGGCAACCTGGAAAACGAAAAGGTGAAAAGTACTAAAGTTACATCTGATTAAAGGGATAAAGCCAAGAAGGAAGTGGAATAATGAAGAAAACTGAAATAAGACAGTAATGATAGTGGAAGCTGATGATGGCACCTGATGGGGGAAAGTTCTTCCATTGTTATTTATTAAGTACCAGCTTTTTCCCATTTATTTGTCTTTACAGTAAACATTTAACATAGTCCCTTGAGTTCTGTAGAGAAAAGAACACAAGATTTGAAAGTTGAAGACAGAAAACTTGAACTCAAATCCTTCTGCACCATTGACCTTGAGCACATCACTTAGCATTTTTTGTCCCTGTTTTTCATTATTGGAGAAGAGTACGAACACCTCACTCCCAAGGCTTGTTAAAGGAATAAATAAGATGACCATATAGCATGTTTGACCTACAGAAAAGTGTCAAATAGGCTAGTTTTTTCCAAGAATATTCCAATTAGCTTTGAGGAAATACTTTTAAAGAAAGAATGTACAAAGAAATAGAGAAATAACAAAGCAAATGTGGAATTTGAAAAGCCTTGTAATGAGTTAACAGCTATTAAAAGTGCTCATTAAAAAAACTGCTCATTAACATTTGATAACCTTTGTAGTTGCAAAGTGCTGTTCTGAAGATTCTATTATTATATGGTAAAGAAGTTGCAATTAGTGAAATGGGAAGAATGAAAACTCAATCAGAAAATTGCTAGTTAGCAGGGCAGGGATTAAGAATATAATCATAATTTGAGCACAGGCATTAATAATTAAAAGGTCAAATGGGTTCCATCCTTCGGAACTTATATAATGGGGAGTTTATAAAGCAGATTACAGCTTTCATTAGCTTATGAGAGAGGAAAACTTCACCTCTGAGTGTGCAGACTTCTAAGAGGACAGGCATCTGCTTTTCCTTCTGGGAAAGAATCCTGTCCTTCTGGGTGGCCTGCTCAGCACCATCATCACCAGACATTCAGCAAATGTTCCAGTCCCAAGGATAAAACTGTGTAGATAACTGTCCTGGTGCTAAAAATAATAACAAATTTTTTAGAAGGGCACTCCAACTTGGAATTCAGGACTAGATATAAAAGAATTAAGAAAAGACAAATTTCCCAGGCCATGTCAGGGCCATCACTGTCATCATCCACATCAGAGCATGTATTTTATTGGCTGTTACAAAATGTCGTGCATTTTCTCTTTTTCTTTTTTGATCTTTTTATTTTTATTAAGGTATCATTGATATACACTATTATGAAGGTTTCACAAGAAAAACAATGTGATTATTCACCCTTATTATTGAATCCCTCCCCATACCCCATTGCAGTCACTGTCCATCAGTGTAGTAAGATGCCACAGAGTCACTTTTTGCTTTTTCTGTGCTACACTGTCTTCCCCATGACCCCACACACACCATGGGCACTAATCATGATACCCCACAATCCCCTTCTCCTTCTTTCCCCACCCACCCACCCCCACCCATCCCCCCTGGTAACCACTAGTCCCTTGGAGTCTGTGAGATTGCTGCTGTTTTGTTCCTTCAGTTTTGCTTTGTTGTTATACTCAACAAATGAGGGAAATCATTTGGTACTTGTCTTTCTCCACCATGCTTATTGCACTGAGCATAATACCCTCTACCTCCATCCATGTTGTTGCAAATGGTAGGACTTGTTTTCTTCTTATGGCTGAATAATATTCCACAGTGTATATGTACCACATCTTCTTTATCCATTCACCTACTAATGGACTCTTAGGTTGCTTCCATTTCTTGGCTATTGTAAATAGTGCTGCGATAAACAAAGGGGTGCATATGTCTTTTGAATCTGTGATCTTGTTTTCTTTGCGTAAATTCCTAAAAGTGGAATACCTGGGTCAAATGGTATTTCTATTTTTAGTTTTTTGAGGAACCTCCATATTGCTTTCCACAATGGTTAAACTAGCTTACATTCCCACCAGCAGTGTAGGAGGGTTCCCATTCCCATTTCTCTGCATTCTTGTCAGCATTTGTTATTCCTTATCTTTTGGATTTTGGCCATCCTAACTGGTGTGAGGTTATAATTCATTGTGGTTTTAATTTGCATTTCCCTGATAATTAGTGATGAGGAGCATCTTTTCATGTGCCTGTTGGCCATCTGAATTTCTCTTTTGGAGTAGTGTATGTACATATCCTCTGCCCATTTTTTAATCAGGTTATTGGCCTTTTGGGTGTTGAGGCATTTGAGTCATTTGTATATTTTGGATGTCAACCTCCTGCTGGGAGTTGTGTTCAGGAAAAAGTTGCTCATGTTTATATTCAAGAGATTTTTGCCTATGTTGTCTTCTAAGAGTTTTATAGTTTCATGACTTACATTCAGGTCTTTGATCCATTTCGAGTTTACTTTAGTATATGGGGTTAGACAATAACCTAGTTTCACTCTCTTACATGTAGCTGTCCAGTTTTCCCAACACCAGTCATTGAAGAGGCTGTCATTTCCCTATGGTATATCCATGGCTCTTTTATCATATGTTAATTGACCATGTATGCTTAGGTTTATATCTGAGCTCTCTATTTTGTTCCATTGATTTATGGGTCTGTTATTGTGCCAGTAACAAACTGTCTTGACTACTGTGGCTTTGTAGTAGAACTTGAAGTCGGGGAGTGTAATACCCCCAGCTTTATTCTTCTTTCTCAGGATTGCTTTAGCTATTTGGGGTCTTTTGTGGTTCCATGTGAATTTTAGAACTATTTGTTCTAGTTTGTTGAAGAATGCTGTTAGTATTTTGATAGGTATTGCATTGAATCTGTAGATTGCTTTAGACAGGATGGCCATTTTGACAATATTAATTCTTCTTATCCATGAGCACAGGATGTATTTCCATTATTTAGTGTCTTCTTTAATTTCTTTCATGAGTATCTTGTAGTTTTCAGGGTATAGGTCTTTCACTTCCTTGGTTAGGTTTATTTCTAGGTAATAATACTTTATTCTTTTTTATGCAATTATGAATGGAATTTTTTTTCCTGATTTCTCTCTCTGCTAGTTCATCGTTAGTATATAGAAATGCAACAGATTTCTGTGTATTAATTTTGTTTCCTGCAAATTTTCTGAATTCAGACATTGGTTCTAGTAGTTTCGTGGTGGATTCTTTAGGGTTTTTTATATAATATCATGTCATTTACAAACAGTGATGGTTTAACTTTTTCCTTATCAATCTGGATGCTTTTGTTTCTTTGTGTTGTCTGATTGCCATGGCTAGGACCTCCAGTACTATGTTGAATAAAAGTGGGAGACTGGGCATCCTTGTCTTTTTCCCAATCTTAAAGGAAAAGCTTTCATGTTCTTGCTGTTAAGTATGATGTTGGCTGTGGGTTTGTCATATATGGCTTTTATTATGTTGTGGTACTTTCCCTCTATACCCATTTTGTTGAGAATTCATATCATGAATGGATGTTGAATTTTGTTGAATACTTTTTCAGTATCTATCAATTTTTGTCCTTTTTGTTAGTGTGGTAATGATGTTGATGGATTTTCAAATATTGTACCATCATTGCATCCCTGGAATAAATCCACCTTGATCATGATGGATGATATTTTTGATGTATTTTTTAATTTGGTTTGCTAATATTTTGTTGAGTATTTTTGCATCTATGTTCATCAGGGATATTGGTCTGTAATTTTCTTTTTTTCTGGTGTCATTGCCTGGTTTTGGTATTAGAGTGATGCTGGCCTCACAGAATGCATTTGGAAGTACTCCCTCCTCTTCTACTTTTTGGAAGACTTTAAGGAGGATGGGTATTAAGTCTCCACTAAATATTTGGTAAAATTCAGTGGTGAAGCCATCTTGTCCAGGCATTTTGTTCTTAGGTAGTTTTTTGATTACCAATTCAATTTTGTTGCTGGTAATTGGTCCGCTCAGATTTTCTGTTTCTTCCTGGGTCTGCCTTGGAAGGAGGTTGTATTTTTCTAGAAAGTTGTCAATTTCTTCTAGGTTATCCAGTTTGTTAGTATATAATTTTTCACAGTGTTCTCTAATAATTCTTTGTATTTTGGTGGTGTCCATAGTGATTTTTCCTTTCTCATTTTTTATTGTTTTTATGTGTAGACTCTCCTTTTTTCTTGAGAAGTCTGGCTAGGGGTTTATGTATTTTGTTAATTTTCTCAAATAACCAGCTCCTGCTTTCATTGATTCTTTTTATTTTTTTATTCTTCTCAATTTTATTTTTATCTGTTCTGATCTTTATTATGCCCCTCTTTCTACTGACTTTGGGCCTCATTTGTTTTTCTTTTTCTAATTTCATTAATTGAGATGTTAGACTGTTCCTATGGGATTGTTCTTATTTCCTGAGGTACGCCTGTATTGCAGTATACTTCCCTTTTAGCATGACCTTCGCTGCATCCCACAGATTTTGTGGTGCTGAGTTATTGTTGTCATCTGTCTGCATGGATTGCTTGATCTCTGTTTTTCTTTGGTCATTGATCCATTGATTATTTAGGAGCATGTTGTTAAGTCTCCTTGTGTTTGTGGGCTTTCTTGTTTTCTTTGTGTAATTTATTTCTAGTTTCATACCTTTGTGATCTGAGAAGCTGGTTGGTACACTTTCAATCCTTCTGAATTTACTGAGGCTCTTTTTGTGGCCTAGTATATGATCTATTCTTGATAATGTTCCATGTGCACTTGATAAAAATGTGTATCCTGCTGCTTTTGGGTGAGTGTTCTGTAGATATCTATTAGATCCATCTGTTCTAATGTGTTGTCAGTGCCTCTGTCTCCTTACTTATTTTCTGTCTGGTTGATCTGTCCTTTGGAGTGAGTGGTGTGTTGAAGTCTCCTAGAATGAATGCATTACATTCTATTTCCCCCTTTAATTCTGGTAGTATTTGTTTCACATATGTAGGTGCTCCTGTGTTGGGTGCACAGATATTTATAATGGTTACATCCCCTTATTAGACTGACCCTTGATCATTATATAATGTCCTTCTTTGTCTCTTGTGACTTTCTTTGTTTTACTATTTTGTCTGATACAAGTACCGCAATACCTGCTTTTTCTCCCTATTAGTTGCATGAAATATCTTTTTCTATCCCTTCACATTAGTCTGTGGGTGGTTTTGGGTTTGAAGTGAGTCTCTTGTAGGCAGCATATAGATGGGTCTTGTTTTATTAGCCATTCAGTAATTCTATGTCTTTTGATTGGTGCATTCAGTCCATTTATATTTAGGGCAATTATTGTTATGTATGTACTTAATGCCATTTCATGTTTTAGATTTGTGGTTACCAAAGGTTCAAGGATGGCTTCATTACCATCTAACAGCCTAACTTAACTCAGTTAGTACACTATTACAAGCACAATCTAAAGGTCCTTTTTTTCCCCCTCCTTTTTCTTCTTCCTCTATTCTTCATATATTAGGTATCATATCCTGTGCTCTTTGTGTATCCCTTGACTGACTTTGGGAATAGGTGATTTAATTTTGCATCTGCTTAGTAATTAATTGGTCTACTTCCTTTACTGTGGTTTTATTTTTCTGGTGACAACTATTTGGCCTTAGGAACATTTCTATCTACAGGAGCACTTCAAAAATCACTGTAGAGACATTTTGTGGGAAGTAAATTTCCTCAACTTTTGCTTTTCTGGAAATTGTTTAATTCTTCCTTCAAATTTAAGTAATAATTGTACTGGGTAGAGTATTCTTGGTTTGAGGCCTTTCTGTTTATTGCATTAAATACATCATGCCAGTCCCTTCTGGCTTGTAAGGTTTCTGTGAGAAATCTGATGATAGCCTGATGGGTTTTCCTTTGTAGGTGATCTTTTTTCTCTCTGTGGCTGCTTTAGTACTCTGTCCTTATCCTTGATCTTTGCCATTTTAATTGTTATGTCTTGGTGTTGTCTTCCTTGGGTCCCTTGTGTTGGGAGATCTGTGTACCTCCATGGCCTGAGAGATGATCTCCTTCCCCAGATTGGGGGAGTTTTCAGCAATTACTTCCTCAAAGACACTTTCTATCCCTTTTTCTTTCTCTTCTTCTTCTGGTATCCCTATAATGTGAATATTTTTCTG